TCTTTACCCCAGTGGAGACAGGCAGAAGCTTGTGTATCTGGCCACCGAGATATTTGGGACCCCCCCACAGAACAGCCTCTTCTCAGCTTTTCACCCGACAGGAAGTTGTAGGGCCCAGCAACCTGTCTGGAGACCCTGAACCAAGCAGCCTGCAGCCTCTTGCCACATCTCAGCAGAAATGGAGATGCCTCGATCCTCTCCAGATGTGGCGCTTTCTCCCTGTCCTCTGGGAAGGCCCAGTGCTGCCTGCTTTGGGTGTGTGGTGGAGGGAGAAGGAAGGCAATAGGTGCTCCCTGCTGCTTCACACAGAACAGGAGTCCTGTCCCAAGCCGTTAAGTAGCTAAAGAACTATCTCCGCCACAAGAGGGATGAGGCAAGGGCTGCCAGAGAGGGGTCTGGGCTTTTGAGCTGACATAGGGACTCCTTTGCTCTGTCTGACCTCTGCCAGGCCCTGCACAGCATCAATGGATCTCAGTGTTTGTTAACAAAATACAAAGATCTCAACCCCCTTCTAGCTTCTCCTAGCAACATCTGCGTCCTCAGAAACCTCTGGTCATTCCCTTTCCCCTCCCCCAGGCTGCCCTGGCACCACAGTGGCTACCATGCTGGCATCTCTGGCCCTGGGGCTTGTCATTCTCCCCATGGACTTCCTGGTTCCTAGTTTTTTTGCCAGCTCCTCCCCACAGTGCGTGACCTTTCCAAGTCTTCCCTCCTCCTCCCCGCCAGCACCCTCTTTGAGGAGCAAGAACTTAATCTGTTGACAGAGCTACACCTTTCCACAGCAGGCGCAGATCACTCTGCTCCCTGTGACCTTTGCAGTTGCCCTGCCTCCCTTCTCAGGAGGTCTGACAGGGGAGGTTTCAGCTGGGTTCCTCCTGCTACCTCCTCAGGACATCCTTGGCTCCACCCCTTTCCTCCTCCCAAAGCCTGAACCAGGTGGCTAGAGAGTGGCCCAAAGCTGATCAGGGGTAGGTAAGGGTGACCATGTCCCATGTTGGTGGAACATTCCAAG